ATTAGTAATTAGTAATCGGTTCTTTGATCCGGATTTTCAATGAATAGTTACGGATATTAGTGATATTTTTAATGATTATTTACAGTAATTAGTAATATCTGTAACTAATTGCTACTCTCTAAATTTGAAGTTTAAAAAATCAGTTTAAAAATCATATTATTATCAGTTATTTTTAACTGATTTAAATTTAGAGAGCAGATCATTCGATTAAATCTTCAGTCATTGGTTATATGAATCAATGATACGTTTAACTAATATTTACATTAATTGGTGGTTTCTTCAAATAATGTTTTACATTAAATGATAGTATTTCTTTACTTAATGCTATCTTCCATGATCTTCAATAATTAATAGTATACTTTTGTGCCGTAATCTTTTTGTATATCTCTGTTGCTCGAAAGAGTTAATAGAAAATTTTATTTTCTTAGATTCGTTGTTATTCTCACATCACTTTAGCTTTGTTAGAGAAGGTCAGAGGAAAGCCCGCGGTCATGCACGAGTTCATATATCTTACGTAATCTACATTTATACGCAAACATACGGTTTTTTTGTCTTCTTCTTTTTCATATAAGCGAAGAAATAAATTTGACCTTAAAATTTATAAATTCTTTAATTTTTCCAACTCGTTAAATTTGGTCTTTCTTGACGAAAAAAAAGAAATTAACACTTCGTGTCATTTATATTTTCAATTTAGTGTTTGGTGTATAATAGCAGAGAGGTTGTGAAGTTTGCAACACAACATTTAATTTAATTACAGTTTTAAATTTAACGATATAAAAAATTTAATCTTTATAAAGAAAATACTTAAAAATTATAATCGCGAAAGATATTAAAAGTAAAAAGTAATAATCGTCACGTAGAGAGAGAAAGAGAGAGAGAGAAAATTAATGTGTATAATGTTTTGGCATTCCTATTGATAAGATACGCGATTGGTAATTGGAATACAAATGATTAATACACCGACAAAAGATACATAATTTGAGTATCATAAATCAGGGTCATTTATTACTGCGGTATTGCTGTACCAAAAAAAAACGATTCTAAAAATATTTGTGGAAAAAAATTTTTTCTTTTCATATTACAAGAAACAAATAAAGAGAATACTTCTTTTAGTCTCATGTTTTTTTACGTTGCTCCTGGCACTGCTGTATCGCGTGTCAAATGCAAAACCTCATAAAAGCACAAATTATCACCAATCAATAGCGTTCCCTGAATTTACGTCAACTTTTGAATGTAAAGCTCTATTCACAACTTTAAAAATAATATATATTTATTGTTTCTTTATTTTCTTCATGCTAAATTTTTATTCTTTTTAGTACTTATGTTTGCATTGAATATTCCGTATACTATATTATTATTACCAATTTTATGCTGTCTAAAAATAACAACGGTTGCCATAAATTTATTTATATACATAGTTGAAGTTCATTTTAACAAATATGATTTAAATGATTTATGAATGCTCGATAAATTGATTTATCGACTCGCTTCAATGAGATCATGAACGACCTCGAGGAATGCTCTCTGATCAGGTAGCAAGTGATGTCAATTATAATTGATCGCAATCGGGTTCAACTGTTGGTGTCATGATTTCATAAAATGCTTGCTAATTCTACTTTATTGACCCGGAATAAATAAATAAATATTTATTTATTTATTTATTTATATAAATAAACATTACTTTATTTGTACGATATTTTGTAAATTTTGAATTTATTCTCTGAAGTAAAAAAATAATGAAGCGCGAAAATTTCAATTACCTTTAGAAATAATTAAATTCTTCTCTGAAATTCAATTATTTTCGAAGACTTGAATAAAATTCTTTGCAAAATTTCAATTATCTTCAAAAATTTTCCTCAATTCAATGATTTTTAATATTTACTATTTTAATAAAATTTTCCAAAGGAATTCAATTGTTTATAAAAAATTTAATAAAATTCTTCGCAAGTCTTTAATTATATTTATAAAATAATAAAAATTTCACAGCAATTCAATTATTTACAAATTTTTTTAAAATTCAATTATTTTCATAAATAATAAAATTTTTACAGGGATTCAATTATTTGCGTTCATAATAAAATTCCTTTTTAGGAATTCAATTATTTTCACAAATAATAAAAATCATCGCAGAATTTCAATAATTTTTACCTGTTTTTAATATAATTTTAATAAAATTCTTCGAAAAATGTAATTATTTTTAAATAATTTATTAAAATTCGTCGAAAGAATTCAATTATTTAAAAATTTTGTTGATAAAATTTTTTATGGGAATTGAATTTTAAGAATCATGCAATTATTCAATAAATAGTTTTTTTTGTATTTAAATAATTGAACTCTAGTAGAATTTTCTAATAAAAATTGATTTTCATTTCATAAAAATGAATTTCAGTTAAAATTTTAAATTATAATTGAATATTGAAAGCATTAGAGTGTGAATTTTTAGAAATAATTGAATTTTGAAAGGGTTTCAAATTAAAATCTTTGAAAATCTGAATTTTTCATATTTTTAACTGACAATTTTGTGGAATTAATTTTTTTGAGAAAGTTTAATTGCGGATTTTTTTAAAATTATTTGAAGTTTTTATTTTCTAATATTATATATTTAATTGAAGAATTTACGAATAATTTAAATTATGTAAAATTGAATTGAAAACAAATGAATTTGAAAATTGTCAAAGAACTTTTTCAAAAATTATTAAAAATAATGCATTTATTGAAGAATTTTATTTAGAAATCCGAAAAAAAAATTAATTTTGGAAAAGTAAGAAATTAATTCTGAAATTCAATTATTTTCAAAAGCAAGAATATTCTTCGCAAAAATTAAATATTGTTCAAAAATAATAAAATTCTTCTTAGGGATTCAATTATTGTCACAAATAATAAAACTCATCGCAGAATTTGAATTATTTTTAATACAATTTCAATCCAGTTTCTTGAAAATTGTAATTATTCTTAAAAATTGTATTAAAATTCGTCGAAAGAATTCAATTATTTAAAAATTTTTCACGATAATTCAATTATTTTCATAAATAATAAAATTTTTACTGGGATTCAATTATTTTCGTAAATAATAAAATTCTTTTTAGGAATTCAATTATTTTCAGAAGTAATAAAATTTTTACAGAGATTCAATTATTTTCGTAAATATTAAAATTCTTTTTAGGAACTCAATTATTTTCATAAATAATAAAACTCATCGCAGAATTTCAATTATTTTGAATACAATTTTAATCAAATTTCTCGAAAAATGTAATTACTCTTAGAAATTTTCTTAAAATTCGTCGAAAGAATTCAATTAATTAAAAATTTGTTGATAAAATTCTTTATGGGAATTGAATTTTAAGAAACATTCAATTATTCAACAAATTATTTATTTGTATTTTATTTGTATTTAAATAATTGAATTCTAGTAGAATTTTCTAATAAAAATTGGTTTAAAAATTAATTTTAGTTAAATTTTAAGCTAATAATTGAATACTAAAAGCAATATAGCGAGAATTGTTAGAAATAATTGAATTTTGAAATTAATTTTTTTGAAAAAGTTTAATTGAATTTTTTTTATATTATTTAGTGTCAATAAAACTTGTGAAAAATATCCATTTTTTCAACCTTTATTTCGAGAAATAAACCTAAAAGGTGTATAATAATAATCATTGATTTTATTCGCTTCGATTTTCAAAAATGGAAAATTATTGTCTACTCTACCAACATTTACTATACACAAATCTATATCTATACATCAATCCACAGACATATACATAAAAAAAGCTTGTAGATTTCGAGTAACGTTTTTCGAGTATCGCATTTTCAACATTGAACGAGTGGCCGGCCGTTGCCACCGCCACCGCCGTCAGCTTTCGTACAGCCAGTGGAAATTTCCGCTCCATCGAGAAATGCCGGCAAACCCGAGCACAAGACGGCATTTCCGATTGAATGCTACCTTTTTTAAAACTCAGTCCACGACTCCGTGAAAACGGAAAAAATACTGTCATGCGAAATGCAATTTATCTGATATATGACCGTTCACTCAGGACCTTCATTCTGTTATAGAGTGAAATTCAATTGTGCAAAAAAAAAAAGAATGAATGAATGAACGAAAGAAAGAAAGAATAAAAAAAAACCCAAAACTTTTCCCTAAAAAAAATTTTCACACTGAAAGAGAAAATATTATTGATAAATGATGTGGAAGAATTTTTTTTCTACCTAAATTAACAATAGAATTGAAAAATAATTCGCACAATGAAAGGAAGGATGTTGAGATTAATATTTTTCCGTTGCGGAAATGTTAAAAATAAACAAACACTAAAGAGTTAACAAAGTCAGAGAGAGAGAGAGAGAGAAAACTTTTCTCCTCCATCCATTTTAATGAATAATGTCCATTAAATTGATGATCATTTTTATGAATTATATAAATAATGACTCATGAAATTGAAGGAAATCAAACAATTTCCAAGAAGGGACTTTTGCAATACGAGATGTGTAAAACAAAGACAAATTATGCCTTGTACGACCGTTTTTTTGCAGATAAGAATGATAGTAATTGAATCCCCTTTAATTGGACGACAACACTATAAAGGCAATGCATGTCCATTTGTCATTTGCATTTTTTGCCTTCAAGGTTTTCTTTGAAAAATTCAATACACTATTTCAAATGTTAATGAAATTCATTACTTAATGTTAAAGTGAATGCACTTTAACATTAAGTAATGAATTTCATAAACCACCTAATTTCGCAATATTTTTTTTCGTATATAAATTAATATAGATTTTAATTAGCCATGTCATTAGCTCCCGTTTTAATTTATTCAACAATCGTGCGTGCATTCGTGAACGATTTTAATTTATTACTATTATATATTTCTGAATATAATATTTAAATGAAATAATATTAATATAAAAATATAGTTAATAATTCAATCGATGAAAAAAACGAAATATTCGAGAGGTAATTAAAAAAAAATTACAAATATTTTTTTTTGAAAAGAAAAAATTGTACTCACCATTATGAAGAAACTCTGCCTTGACGGCACAAAAGTTGAAAAAATATATCCGGTTTAAATTTAGCGCCCAAGGCGCATTCACAATGTTTTCTCTCCTTTAACCAAATTCCTATTTTTCAATCAGATCACAAGTTGGTTTTTCGTATTTCTAAATATATAAATTATTAATTCTCCTTATCTCGTCCTCTCCTTTCTTTATAGAATAAAACAACGAATAAAAATTGAAAAAATATCACTGATTCCTTTGGCTTTTTTTTAAAAATTATTTCCTGCTTAAGTCTCTTCGCATTTAAGTATAAATCTAAAAACCTGCAAAAAAAGAAAAGGGAAAATTTTTTAAATGTTGCAAAACTCAATTTTTTCAACAATTATTTAATATTCAATATTAAATATTAAATTAAATTAAATAACTAATCTGTTATTAGAATTTAATAAACTTTTTTCAGTTTAATCAGCAAATAAATGAAATAATAAATAAAATAATGAAGAAAAAATAAGTGCGTGAGTGGCTTAGTGGTTAGCGTACAAGTCTACAGTGTATTAGGTCCCGAGTTCGATTCCCGCGATTGTCGAATATTTTCAATTCTGGTTAACAATTGGATTTATATGCGAAAGTTGAATAACAAATCCAAAAAAATTTGAAAACAAGTTTCTTTAAAGAACATTATAAAAAAAGAACAATAGACAATAAACAAAAATAGGAAGCTCTTAATAAATAAATAATAAAATAATAAATAATTATATTCAACTTTAAAAAAAATAGTGACCGTAATAAAATAAATATAAGTCAGTTGCAAAAAGAACAATGAGTGATAAATTAAAAATTACCTGTGTAAAAAAACAGCACGTCCAAAGTTTATGGGAAACTTACTAAATCACAAGTAATCACTGCTGGATCAATATTGATTCAGCAAATTCTTTTTTTTGGAATACCTATATTCAATACCTGCAAAACATAAATCAGCAGAGAACTGCCAGTCTGCATTAATTGGTATCTTACGAATGCAGGAACGCATTCAGCGTTGTGAGGTTTTTTTCAGACCTTCAGGTTCTTTCAATTACATATCACGTGCTCATGCACTTGTTGGATTATAAATGTTCCCGTATATTGATCATCTTATTGTTTGTATTGCCGATAAACCTCCTCTGCTTCACCATATGGCCACCTGTCAATCTAACCTGTACAGAAAAATGGGAAAATATTTTCTAAATTATTATTAAAACACAATTCTTAGGATAATTATAAAATTAATTCATTATAATTAAAATTTTAGCCACTTTAGTAATTAATTAATTAATTACCAACGTGACTAAGAATAGAAAAATTAGTTAACTACCAAAGTGAGTAAGAATAGAAAAAAATTAAATAATTACTTAATTATCAAAGTCAGTAAAAATAAAAATAATTAATTAATTAATTACCAACGTTAATAAGAATAGAAAAATTAATTAAATAATTAATTAACTACCAAAGTGTGTAAGAATAGAAAAAAATTAAATAATTACTTAATTATCAAAGTCAGTAAAAATAAAAATAATTAATTAATTAATTACCAACGTTAATAATAATAGAAAAATTAATTGAATAATTAATTAACTACCAAAGTGACTAAAATAAAAAAATTAATTAAATAATTAATTAATTACCAAAGTTGGTAAAAATAATCAAATTAATTAAATGATTAATTAATTATTAACATGAGTAACAATAGAAAAATTAATTAAATAATTAATTAACTACCAAACTGATTAAGAATAGAAAAAAATTAAATAAATACTTAATTATCAAAGTGACTGAAAATAAAATTAATTAATTAATTAATTAATTAATTACAAACGTTAATAAGACTAGAAAAATTAATTAAATAATTAATTAACCACCAAAGTGACTAAGAATAAAAAAATTAATTCAATAATTAATTAATTATCAAAGTCAGTAAAAATTTAAAAAATTAATTAATTACCAACGTAAATAAGAATCAAAAAATTAATTAAATAATTAATTAACTACCAAAGTGAGTAAGAATAGGAAAAAAATTAAATAATTACTCAATTATCAAAGTAACTAAAAATAAAAATAATAAATTAATTAATTACCAACGTGAATAAGAATAGAAAAATTAATTAAATAATTAATTAACCACCAAAGTGACTAAGAATAGAAAAATTAATTCAATAATTAATTAATTACCAAAGTTGGTAAAAATAATTAAATTAATTAAATAATTAATTAACTTCCAAAGTGAGTAAGAATAGAAAATAAATTAAATAATTACTTAATTATCAAAGTCAGTAAAAATTAAAAAAATTAATTAAATAATTAATTAACTACCAAAGTGTGTAAGAATAGGAAAAAAAATAATTACTTAATTACAAAAGTGAGTAAAAATAATAAAATGATAAAGTTAATTTAATTTTTCTATCAAACCAAAAAAGTATTTAATAAAAAACAAATTAATAATTATTACAATTATACATTTGAATCAATTATTCGAGCAATTATTGTAATAGTTAAAAAATTATTACACTTAGTTACTAATAAATTAATAAGCAATAATTATTATAAAATATCCGCATTTACAATAATTATAACATATTAATTATTAACAATCAAATAAATAATACTTTCAACAATAAAAAATTCAAAATAAAAATTAAATAAACTAGCTTTAAATTTATTTAAAATGCAAAAAGAATTTAATAATAAAAACTTGTAAATTACTTTACAAAAAACTTTTTTCCACTACTACCGTCTCAGAATTTTCTCTAAATAAATTTATAATTCTCAGTGCATATTATTATTAATTTATTTCTTTCGTATTCATTGAGCGTCCGTTGTATTTGTTTTTCATTAAAAGTGGAAAAGTAAAAATTCAGAAAGTAATTAAAAGTTTCAAAAAAGAAAAAAAAATTGTCTTTTTTTATTCCAGCAGCAGAAGTGAGTCTCAAGTTAAATAAAGTCAAGAGTGAATTTAAAAAAAGAATGAGTGTAATTCTTTAGTAAAGAATCTTGTTAAGATTTTTAGTGGCCAAGTTGATTTTGCGTGCACATATTTCAATTTAGAATTAAAATTGAATTGAAAGAGCGAATTTAGAAATACAATTGCGCGTGTTGTCGCAAATAATAATTTATTTGAACTCAATTTGAATCAATTTGAATTTAATGGGTTTTTGAAAATTTCCGCGAGACATTGAAGAGATAAAAATAGAAAAAAAATTTACTTTTTTGAATTTATACGCAAATATTTAATTAACGGATAATTACGGAAAACAGAATTAACTTATTTAGGTCAATTTAATTTAATTTTCTAGGTAAATTTATTATAAAAAATTATTTATATTCGTAAAATTATTATTATTATTAATTGTTATTACTAATAAAGTCAAACTTGTTGTTAATATTTGGTTGAATGTTGTATTAATAATTTTAATGTTATTAATAATAATTTATGAATTAAATAATATTAATTAAATAAAAATTTATTAATCGAATAATTAATTAAATAATAATCTATTAACCGAATAATTAATTAAATAATACAACTTAATTGAATTTTTTTTTCAAAATAAATAGAAAAATTAAAAAGCAATCGTTCGTTATAAATGTTCAAGTCAATAAATACGACCTTGTCTTGTCTGTATTCATAATATAAAATCAAAATTTACTTAGAAGTAATTTCACTTGGTTATAATATAGTCAACGTTTACTTAATAATACATTTAATTAGCAATAAGTTTGTTCTCTATTTAATAACTTGCGGCATAAGCAAATTTGCTCACTTTAAATGAAAATATTCATCGAATGAAATAAAGCATTTTTTCAACTTTTTTTTTTTTTTTTTTTGAATAGTGACGAAAAATCGATTTTAATTAATTCAACGGTGTTCAACAATGTTCAATATTTTATTTAAACAATATATCTATAGGTATCAATGTGTACGTATACTTACACTCATCGGTTACGGGCTGTGGTTTTGTTTTTCTTTTGTCGAGAAAAATCAACAAATTGTCCGCCAAGCTTCAAACGCTTTTATCCATTCACTTTGCTCCGATTATGAATCAACTGAAAAAATACAAAAAAAAACCAAAATATAAATTTTTATTATAGAAAATATGAGAAGAATAAAATTGTTGATTATAAACAGAAAATGATTTATAGAGAAAAAAACTTCTATTAACTTTGGAAAATAATTTTTCTTTCCATCTATAATTAAAAAGATATTATCTTTACTCCTCAAGTGTTCGAAAATACATTTTATTAATTAGAATTAGAAAATTAAAAAAAAATATGATTACCAAATAAAAAATAAACCAATTTTGTTTGTTATATGCTTTGTTCTATAACAAATTTCGTTTGACTGATCTAAATTATTATGCAAATTATTCTCATTTTTATTTATAAAAAATACTTGAAAAAAATACTTTGTTAAAAAATTTTTATTTAAAAGGTAGGAAATATACCCATTTTTATGCATAATTTTTTATTTTTCAATAAAATTTTTGAATTTTTAGAAAATAAAGGAAAAACTTTTAAAATATTGTTATAAAACATAAAGATGACAATTACTCTGAGTCTTCGACTCGGAGTAATCGTTATCTTCATATTTTATATCTAATAATTAAAGAGGATCGAGTGTTAAAATTATTATTTTATATTATAAGAATATTCTTACTGTAACTTCTTAAAAATTATTTTCATATTCTATTATTATCTTTTTAAAATAAAATAAATTTTCAAATTAATTTTTATTAGAAATTTCTACGAGACTTCAATTATTTAAATACAATTACATTTATCGATGAATTTGATTAAAATTTTTTTAAAAAACAATTAGAATTCTGCGATGATTTTAACTATTTATTAAAATAATTGAATTCTTTAAAAGAATTTTGTTATTTACAAAAATAATTGAATCCCTGTAAAAATTTTATTATTTATAAAAATAATGTTTGGATAGAATTTTATTAGAATTTTTTTAAATAATTGAATTTCTCTGGAATTTTTACTATTTTATGAAAATAATTAAATGTATGAATAGAATTTTATTAAAAATTTTTTAAATAATTAAATTCTTTTGGAAAATTTTCATTAAAATAATACCTAGATACTAAAAATCATTGAATTGAAAAAAAATTTTGAAAATAATTGAAATTTTGCCAAGAATTTTATTAAAATTTTTGAAAATAATTGAATTTCGGAGAAGAATTTTATTATTTATAAAGATAATTGAAATGTTGACGAGAATTTTATTAAAATTTTTGAAAATAATTGAATTGTGAAGAAGAAATTTTTTATTTATAAAGATAATAATTGGGATTTTGTCGAGATTTTTTTGTAAATTTTGAACATAATTGAATTTTTTGATAAGAATTTTAGTACATTTTGAAAATAATTGAATTTCTGCAATAATTTGTAACTTCTTCAAAATTCAATTTTTTTAGTGTTTTTAACTAAAATTCTTCTATAAATTCATTATTTTTAATAATTAATTAAATATATATTGACAAATTTAATTAATTTTAGAAGATTTTGAATTATTAAAATTTTGCAAATATCTTGAGTTCATTAAAATTTCTAATTAAATTCATTCAAAATTGAAATTTTATAAAATTTCTTATTTAAGTCATTAAAAATTGAAATTTGATAAAATATCTAATTAAATTAATTCAAAATTGAAATTTGATAAAATTTCTAATTAAATTCATTCAAAATTGAAATTTTATAAAATTTCTTATTTAAGTCATTAAAAATTGAAACTCTATAAAATATCTAATTAAATTCATTCAAAATTGAAATTTTATAAAATTTCTTATTTAAGTCATTAAAAATTGAAACTCTATAAAATATCTAATTAAATTCATTCAAAATTGAAATTTTATAAAATTTCTTATTTAAGTCATTAAAAATTGAAACTCTATAAAATATCTAATTAAATTCATTCAAAATTGAAATTTTTTAAAATTTCTAATTAAATTCATTCAAAATTGAAATTTTATAAAATTTCTTATTAAATTCATTCAAAATTGAAATTTTATAAAATTTCTTATTTAAGTCATTAAAAATTGAAATTTTATAAAATATCTACTTAAATTCATTCAAAATTGAAATTTTATAAAATTTCTAATTAAATTCATTCAAAATTAAAATTTTATAAAATTTTTTATTTTATTTTTTATTAAATTCATTTAAAATTGAAATTTTATAAAATTTCTTATTTAAGTCATTAAAAATTGAAATTTTATAAAATATCCACTTAAATTCATTAAAAATTGAAATTTTATAAAATTTCTAATTAAATTCATTAAAAACTGAAATTTTATAAAATTTCTAATTAAATTCATTAAAAATTGAAATTTTATAACATTTTAAATTCAAACCGTTTAATTAAGTACATTTATTTATGAAAATTGTAAACGCAACTCTTTTAAAATTGAATTAATTAAAAAATATTGTAAAATTATTCATTAAATAATTTATTTATTTTATGATAGTTATTCAAGATTTAAGTTATTTAAAAAGAAAATTTTTGTCAGAAATTGAAAAAATTGAAGGTTTTGTATTAGAATTCGTGGTAATTTTATAGTTTACGAGTCAAACAAAAAAGACACAAAAATTCAGAATTTTCTTATGAATTCTAACAATTTAATTTTTTTCAGAACTTTTAATAAAAATTCCTGACTTTTCCCTGAATTCCCTATGTCAGAATATATGATTATTATAATTATAATAATATTAAAACTATATATTTTAATTCCTCTTTTATTTTTATAAAAAAAAATTTGTATTAAAAATTTTTACTTGCTAATTTTATTTTAAAAAGTGAGTGAGAAGTCAGGCGCGCACGTATGCGCGCCTGACGAATTGTTGCTATTAATTATTATTATTATTATTATTTTTCAAAAGTAAATTGTTATTTATTGAAAAATTAAGAAATTGTAAAATTAAAAACACGTTATTATAAAAAATGTGTATGAAGAAAATATTTTGTTGAATGAATAGAGAGAAGTGTGGGAATAATTATATGGGAGAATAACGACACTCTAATTTGAAACAAGCCTCGTCTTTGACTTTAGTTTTGAATGTATAATAATCATCTCTAATATATGCTAGCGAGACAAGAAGCGAAAAGACAATGTGACGTAACAGTGTCGTCAAGTTAGAATAAGCACCCTATGGTTCCATGTTCTCAGATGTCTCTTGCAGATTTGCATCTCAATCGCGCATCCTGGCGTCTCTAGCGTTGAAGAATACACTATGAATTTTATTCACGTCTCATATTTTTCGACCTCACAACATACATACATGACTATAGCAGATTTTCTTCCTCCATACAATATATTTATCATTGAATTGTCGTTTGCCTCTCTCCCATCTCGTAAATGGTTCCTAAGGGCACGTATATATTGCACAAACTTACCACTATGTGTATACTTTATTCTTTCCCTGACTTCCGGTTTCAAATACATATGACACTTTCTTTCATATTCTTTACGTTTCGTCAATAGTGATTCGTTCTCGGATTCATCAATTGCAGTAAAAATGAGATATTCTTAAGGGAAAACTTTTCTTTTTTTATCCAAAGGAAGTAAAATGCTTATTTGTGACCCTTGAGAGTCAAAATATTTGTTGACTCTTTTAAAATTGTGATTTTCTTAATGGGAAACTTTTCTTTTTTATCCAAAGGGAGTAAAATACTTATTTGTGACCCTTGGGAGTCTAAATATTTTTTGACTCTCTTTTTTTAATTCCCTAGTGAGAAAAATGGTTCCTTTTAACACTAGATACTAAAATACCAATAAAAAGAACGCAAATCATTAAATTACAAAAATAAATTACTGTTTTTGTCTCGCAATTAAAAAATATTTTTCTTTCTTTTTCTTTTGCGAAAAAAAATAGAATTATAATTCCCAATATTTTTTATGTCTATCTTTCCAGGAACTTGAACGTACAACTTGATGGATTCGACGTCAAGGATATAAAATACCTATATAAAGTAGTGAATATATTTCATAAAAAAAAGACTACTCGATCCATTATCAGAGGTGACTGACAAATTTCTTTTCATGCGGGTTAGACGAGAATCTGTCACGTGTGAAAAAAACACCGCAAGAATAAAGAACTTTCCTTTTCTTTTTTTTGAGAAAGAAGAAAAATTACAGTGTATAACTTTCCAAAACTCAAAAAACTCCTAATTTTTAATTAATTAAAAAATTTATTTGTTAATCATAATTTTTTTATATTTTCTAAAATGAATTTAAATTCTAATGAGGAAAAATTTGCACTCTCCTACTTTTATTCAAGAGAAAAATCGACAGATTCAATGTATGTGTGTGTAAAAATGCAAGAATATTGAACAAGAAAATTTCGTTATTATTGGAAAATAAAATAGCAAATATATGAATAGTTTTAAGATTTTTGCTCTATTGTGTGTGAAAATCTTTCGAAGGTGCCATGTGCGGGTAATTTAAAATCGATCCCTTGTTCTCAGTCTGAAAAGCAAAAGCAAAAGCTTTGACTGTATGGATAAATTTACTTGCGTCATGCTACCACTTCTCTTTTGCACTTTCTCGCCCTTTTTTCTTTTTTTTTCTTCACACGTAAATCTAATTTCGATTTTTCCTTCATAATTGTGAATAGCACTTGAATATTTTAAATAAAATAATTTCCAATTTTCCAAATAGAAAAAGTATTTAATAATAAAGTAAGAAAATATAGTAAAAACATTAATATTTTTTCTTATAATAATATTTTTCAATATAAAAATTAAATATCAATATTAAAATATTTACAATTTTTATACACGATAAAAGAAATTATTATCAAATAAGGTTTTATAATCATTATCAAATAAACTTTCATAATTTTTAATGCCTAAAATACTATTCATCTGAAAGTATTATTAAATTCTTAATATATTTAATAAATCTTTTTATAATGCAATTATTATTTTATGCTTCCAAAATACACATAAACTTTCAGTGTAATACACTGTTATGTAATAATAAAATCACATTTTCGCACTAATTTAAATTTATAGAGAAAATGAAGAATCGTATATTTAAAATTAAATGAATCCTGCACCACGAATTTTATAATAAAATCCTTATAACCCTCAAATCTTTTCGCGGAAACTTAAAACTTTCTTTAGCAAAGGCGCAGCTAATACAAAATCGCGTGCGAAAATTTAAATAACTTGATGGGATGAGATAGACTCCTTCGCACTTGTAACTAACTGCAGAAGGGTTAATATAAATTTACAACTGCGTTCTAAATTATAAATCAAAAAAAGATTCGTGATAATAAATCCAGAAATTTACGGAAATTACTATCCAAGGAAAAAAAAGCTTATCTTCAAATTGCAAAAGAAAATTACATTCTCTATCTTTCGTTTCTTTTTATTTATTCATTAAAAAAATTCTTTCTTTTCTTTATTACTTTTTGTTCATTAAATACTAAACATTTCTTAAATTCACTACTTTTACTAGTAAAATATTATTATTTAGCAAATTTTTATTTTCTACCAGCTGCTACTCTCCACCTGCGAACGCCAAGGTCACCACTAGATGGCAGTTAAGTTCCTTCTTGGAATTTTTACTGACACCTGGTGGTGACCTTGGCGTTCTCAAGTGGAGAAATTAAATTTACCACCATTTTACTCCTAAAAGAACTTTTTTATAATTAATAAAATACAAAAATGCCACTGTGAGAATAATTTAAATTGTGTGATTAAAATTTAAAAAAATAAAATTACCAAAACCTCTGCAAGATATTCACAAATATTTTACTTTTCAACCGAAATCGCAATGGTAATTCAAGCAGTTTAAAGCGAATTTTACTGTAAATATTAAATTTTCTATGCGACACATTCATTTAAATAACACTGCGCACCTTCAATCATCCAGAAAAGTTAAACTAGTTCATGCCTTTCTTGCATTATTATAAGAAGTTTAAACACGCTATCTTGATTCATTAGGCACAGTGTCACAAGTCCGTATCATTTGATAAAACAAAAATGACAATATAATTATAATACAATAATTATGTCGAAAAATTATAATTAAAATTAAATCTATAGTAACAATGCGAAAACCCTTCAAGAGAGTTTTCAAATTACATCTAATTAAAAACAAAAAAAAATACAAATAAACAAAAATATGAAGAATAAAAATTAAATTTGCTTCACATAATTCTCCTCGAGGCAAAAAAAAAACTAAACAATAATACAGTAGAAAAGTAAAAAATAAATTTTTTTCAACTTTTTGACGTAACTTTGACAAATATGTTTTTTTTCTTTTGCAACACATGTGATTTTTTTTGAAAAATACGCGAAAAGGAAAAAGCAATTACAGAAGCAATGAGAAAAAGACACATTATTTATCACCCAAACTGAATTGCTGAAAGGAACAGTTCGAATGACTGACAAACAAAAATTTATCACACGAAAAACAATAACTGTCGGATGTTATATTTATTGACGCTATTAATCCGAATGTATTGCTTTTATTTGTATTTAGAGACGTTCGAACTGATCCATTTTCCAAAGCACTGTTTTTTTCGTTTTCCAAATAACTCTTTGAATTATTCATATATATATAATATCCTATATTCGAAAAGGTAAAATAAAAGCGAAGATGAATTCATATAGGCTACATATGCAACTTTTTTAAAGTATTTTTCTATTTTTTTTAGTATTTCAAATCGTTAAATATAAATTCAAAAATTATTTCTCATATACCTAAACAATACAAAATTAAAAATTTCCCATACACTTTATAATTGAATTACAAAATCTATAAACACAATTAATCTATACGTATTATGACAAATCAATTTGAAAATTTGTCAATCTCTTTCGAGTCTAAAATAACAAACTTATATAAGAAATAAAAACCCAGGAAATCAATGAGTGCTTCCACGCATAAAAAAAATTACAACAAAAAGCAATATGTTATAAAATGCAAAAAAGAAATAATTGAAATTGCCACAGACCGCAAAAAAAACTATATATTTTTACTCGTTTTCTTTTTTTTATATATGCAAATGATAAAATGTGAATATAAATCTTCATTTGTAAAATTTAATTAAAATTTAAAAGTCAAAATCCCTGTTGTGGTTTCACATCAACAACGTTATTTACAAACGTTATTCCATTTCAAATTGATGAACTTATGAAAATTTCGTGAAGAAAACAAAAAAAAGCCTCGGACTGAATATAGAGAAATACAAAATAGTATCAAAAGTGTCATAAAATATTCGTAAAATTTAAAAATAATATTTGTGTTTGAATAAAAAAACGTTATAAATGTTGAAGGAAACAATTTAAATTATTCTCACAATAACATTTTTTGTATTTTATTAATTATAAAAAAGTTTTTCAGGAGTAAAATGGTGGTTTGATTTCTCCACTTGAGAACGCCAAGGTCACCACCAGATGTCAGTGAAAATTCCAAGAAGGAACTGAACTGCCATCTAGCGGTGACCTTGGCGTTCGCAGGTGGAGAGTAGCATCACAGGCACAACAATTAAAAGTTGTCATTGATTCAAAATAAAACTAATCTATTGAAAATAACATTAAGAATTGATACCGCATTCGAAAATACTAATTAAAAATCCAATAATTTGAATAAAAAAAAAAACTCATCGATTTTAATATTAAAAATTCACCTCTATTTTCGTTATTAAAAAAACAAACAAAACACGAAATCTATAAAGTTTTTCCATTAGTTTTTCTCAATGAAAACTACTATTATAATGTTTTGAAATGAAGATGAAATCTTTTCGCGATTGTAGGAGTATAACTTTTGAGAATGATTTGGGTTCGAGGAACGTTCTGGAAATAGCCGATTGGAGCTACAAGACACTGTCTATTTCCATGCACTCATGACGCAAAACCATATACACACATTTAAAAAAGAAACGCGCCTCGATCTACAAATTCACTGATACTAATCAGTGAATACATTACATATATATATATATATATAAAACATTGCAGTCACTGATACTTGAATGCAAATCATCTCTCCCCCTTTCACTATATATACATATATAATGTAGTTCAAAGACACTCATTTCCATCCAGAAATTCTTTATCATAATGTTCCACGTGTATATTTTCAAATAAAAAATGAAAAATTTATCTTTGATTTTTCTAAAAAGAAAAAAAATTCAGACATTGACAATCCTTTGTGAGGACACAATCATTGAAATCACGATGAAACAAAATGAAATTCTAATTTCTTTTTGTATTTACATATAGACGTTATTAAAAAAATTTTTTTCCTATAGAAGGTAGTAAATTCTTGGGTAAAAATTATTTACTTCAATTTTCTACACTTTAAAAAATTTACTTGATTTAAAAATCGAAAAGTCAATATTGCTTGATTCCAGTACAGATTAGTTAGTATAAGTAAAAATTATTTGATTTAAGTAAAAATGAGTTGATTCAAGAAAAAATTAGTTGATTTAAGTAAAAATTATTTGATTCAAGTACAGATTAGTTAATTTTAGTAAAAATTATTTGATTCAAGTAAAAATGAGTTGATTCAAGAAAAAATAGTTAATTGAAAGAAAAATTATATAATTTAATAAAAATGACTTGATTCAAGTAAAAATTATTTGATTCAAAGCTAAATTTAAGTATACACTGAAAATAAAATTTATTTGATTCAAATAACCGATTACTTGACTATTATCAATTAAATATTTAATTGAATCGAATAATATTTATTAGAGTCAATTAAATGGTATTTGATTTAAAATTTTTAAATACTGAAATTATTGGTTCAAATGCCATTTAATTGACTCCAATAAATATTATTTGATTCAAGTAAATATTTAATTGATAATAGTCAATTAATCGGTTATTTGAATCAAATAAATTTTTTTTCAGTGTACACTCTAAATTTAAATTAGTAAAAATATTCAGTAATTTGAATTAGTGACTGACTTTTAGCTTTTTAATTAGTAAAGTTTTCTAATAAATAGTAATTTCTACTAATTTACTAGTAAAATTTACTAATTCAAATGCAAAAAGTCAGTCATTAATTCAAATTACTGAACATTTTTACTAATTTAAATTCAGAGAGTAAAAATTAGTTGATTTATTTGCTAATACAAAACTAATCGTTTTATTTGAATTAACCAAACTTTTTTCAGTGTAATTCGTCAATGAAAACGAGTATTTTTATACTAGAAAAAATAATTTTAAAATAAATATAAAAATATATATTATAATTATAATATAAACTAACAAAAAACAATTTTTATCAATTTGTTCGCGAACAAAAAAAAATGTCTCGAAATTAAAAACCGAAATGCATAGGATAAATTTAATTATGCAAATTACAAAAGCGAAATTTGAATTTTCACATTGCAGAAATATGTATATAAAGAGAAAATTTTATTCCATATTCCCACAATGACAAATTCAATGCATACATATATTTTAAAGATAAGGAAATTGTGTGACAGTGTAAAACGTGCTTTACAAAGATATACACACAAACACACACACACACACAAGTTCGCGCAGAAATATGTTTGAAAAATTTGACACAAACTTTCAAGAAAATAATTTTGAGAAATAAATATCACTTGGCACTAAATAATGAAAATATAGTGAAATTGTTTGCCTACATTAAATCCTAAACTCTCAAACAAATAAATACCTTTTGTTTCCTTTTCAAATGGATCCGCGGCTTTTGAACTTGTGTCGGGTCAAGTAATTGACAAACGAATACAAAGACACAATAAACACACGCAGACAGAGAGAGTAAGAGAGAGAGAGAGAAAAAGACTTTCTGCTCTCTCTCAGTTCTTGATTATATCCAAGACAGTTGTCTTTGTCAGTGAATATACACGTCACACATTTAAAAACTTTATATATATATATGTATAATTTTCTCCAAACACTCTCTGTGGAAAATTAATTTTTCGAAAATGAAAATGAAAAAACAAAAAGAAATGAAATTTATTAATCGTTAATTAAAAAATTGTTTGGAGGAAAAAAAAATTTTGTTTCGATCGATTCAACTCGTTTGATCAGTAAATCGTGTGTGTATATATATAGGCACTTTGATAATATTCGATACCGTGCGGACAGAAGGCCGTTTTACACTGGCTCCTTTCGCTGCTGGAGACTCTATGTATACCGTGTGTAATATACCATTCGTCCTGTTGTCTGCCTTAGAGTGTGGGCTTTTTCACGTTGTGTGTTTGTATTTGTTTCTGACTCACAGTGTACAGCATGGTTAATTAAAGAAACTCCTGCTTTATATTGTAAAAACATTTGTGAACTAGGTTTACTATAGAAAATTTTTATGTCCAAAAAAAAAAAAAATTCAATAACAGATGAACAATGTTCGACAAAGAAACAAAAAAGATTCCCTAAAACAGGTTTACCACGCTTTTCCTCTTTTCAAATTCCCTGACTTTTCCAGGTTTTCCAGAATTTTTCCAGGTTTTTAATACGAAAATTATTCGAAAATATCAATAACTTCATTTTTCAATAAATATTTAATCATTATTATTTTTTCTTAAAGAAATTAAAATTTTCAAAAATTTCAAATTCAATAATTCAATAACTGTAACTTCTTCAAAAATTATTTCCATCATTACGATTATTCATAATTTTCAACTAAAATTCTTCTTTAAGTAAAATTTTTTTAATAATTTTTGAAAAAGGTCATTGAGAATTTTCAAAATTTTTTTTTACAATTTAATTTTATGAAATTTCGATTATTCTGACAGTCCTCAATTAAATGTATTAGAAATTAAAAACTTTAAATAATTAAAAAAAATTCCATTAAACTTTTTGAAAAAATTAATTCTACAGAATTCTTCATTAAAAGTATGAAAAGTTCAAATTTTCAGAAATTTTAATTTGAAACATTTTGAAACTTCAATTATTTCTAAATATCCACGCTATAATGCTTTCAATATTCAATTACAATCTAAAATTTTAACTGAAATTCATTTTTAAATCAATATTTAATTAGAAAATTCTACGAGAATTCAATTATTTAACTACAAAAAAATATATTTTATTAAATAATTAAATGTTTCTTAAAATTGAATTTTCATATAAAGAATTTTGTCAACAAAATTTTTAAATAATTTAATTCTCTTGACAAATTTTAATAAAATTTTTAACAATAATTTCATTTGTTGAGAAATTTGATGAAAATTGTATTGAAAATAATTGAACTTCTGCCAAGAATTTTATTATAATTTTTGAAAATAATTGAATTTCGGAGAGGAATTTTATTTTTTTTATAAATAATTGAAATTATGACGAGAATTTGTGTAAATTTTTAAACATAATTGAAATTTTCAAAAGAATTTTAATTTTTATGAAGACAATTGAATTTTTAGGTGGAATATTATTAAAATTTTTAAAAATAATTGAAATCCTCATAAGAATTTTATTATTTGAGATAATAATTGAAATGTTCAAAATAATTTTTCTTTTTATGAAGATAATTGAATTTTTAGCAAGAATTTTATTAAAATTTTTGAATATAATTGAAATTTTCAAAAGAATTCTTCATTAAAAGTATGAAAAGTTCAAATTTTCAGAGATTTTAATTTGAAACCTTTTAAAAATTCAATTATTTCTAAAAATCCACGCTATGCTTTCAAAATTAAATTATAATCTAAAATTTTAACTGAAACTCATTTTTAAATCAATATTTTTATTAGAAAATTCTACGAGAATTCAATTATTTAACTACAAAAAAATATATTTTATTAAATAATTAAATCTTTCTTAAAATTGAATTTTCATATAAAGAATTTTATCAACAAAATTTTTAAATAATTTAATTCCCTTGACAAATTTTCATAAAATTTTTAAGAATAATTTCATTTTTCGAGAAATTTGATGAAAATTGTATTAAAAATAATTGAAATTCTGCCAAGAATTTTATTATAATTTTTGAAAATAATTGAATTTCGGAGAGGAATTTTATTTTTTATATAAATAATTGAAATTTTGACGAGAATTTTTGTAAATTTTTTAACATAATTGGATTTTTGCGAAGAATTAGAATACTTTTGAAAATAATCGAATTCGTGAGATGAATTTTATTAAAATATCTTTTTAAATAATTGAATTCTTTTCTGAAATTTTATTGAAATAGTAGACATTGAAAATAATTGAATTTTGACAGATTTTTAAAATTAATTAAATTTCTACGTAGAATTTTATGAAAATTATTTTTAAAAAAATTTTATTGTTAAAAAGAATTTTATTATTTATGAAAATAATTCAATGTTTTGAAGAAATTTAATTAAAAATGTATTGAAAATAATACTTAAATTGTAATAAATAAATTGTAGCAAAAGTTTTTTAAAGAATTGAATTTCTTTGCTGAATTTTAATAAAATTTTTAAGAATAATTACATTTTTTTTTAGGAATTCCGTTAAAATTGTATTAAAAATTAAAAATAATTTTCATAAATAATAAAATTTTTCATACGATTTTAATTATTTTTAATATTTTAAATAAATTGCTCGAAAAATATAATTTTCAAAAAACTTTTTGCAAGAATTCAATTACATTTTACAAATAATGAAATTCTTCGCTGAAATTCAAATATTTTCAAAATTTGCAATTTTATTCAAAATTTTCAAAAGAATTCAATTATTTAAAAAGAAATATTAAAATTTGTCTCAATAATAATTCAATTATTTTCAAAAGTAATAAAATTCTTCTTATGGTCAAAAGTTTAAAAAAATTCTCTTTAAAATTTCAATTATCTTTATAAATGATAAAATTTTTCTCCAAAATTCAATTATTTTCAAAAATTTTAATAAAATTCTTGGCAAAATTTCAATTATTTTCAAAAACTCTTTTTAATTCAATCAAATTTTTTACAGAAATTAAATTATTTTTAACATAATTTGAATCTAATTTCTCGAAAAATTAAATTATTCTTTAAAATGTTATTAAAATTCGTGAAAAGTATTTTAATTACTCATTTAAAAATTTGTTAATAAAATTCTTTATGAGAGTTCAATTTAAAAAAATATTCAATTCTTCAAAAAATTATTTATTTCTGTATTTGAATAATAATTGAATTTTCGTAAAATTTTATAATAGAAATTGATTTAAATATACAAGAATTCAATTATTTTCCTAAATAATAAAAGAATAAAATTCTTCACAGGATTTCAATTATTTTTATAACAATTTTAAGTAAATTCTTCGAAACATGTAATTAATTAAAAAAATTTTATTAAATACATCGAAAGAAATCAATTGTTATCAATTATTTTTAATAATTATTACAAAAGTTCCTTGAGAATTTTCAAATCCATGTTTAGAATTCAATTTTACGAAATTTCGATTATTCGGAAATCCTTCAAATAAATATTTAAAAAATAATAAATTTAAATAATTTTTAAAAAAAAGTTTAATTAAACTTTCTCAAAAAAATGATTTGATTCAGATAACCAATTAATTGACTATTATCAATTAAATATTTACTTGAATCAAATAATATTTATTGGAGTCAATTAAATGTTATTCGATTCAATAATTTCAGTATTTGAAGCAAGTAACATTTAATTGACTCCAATAACTTTTCAAATTTCTTTATAAATAAGAAAGTTTTAAACATTTTGAGATATCTCATTTTTAATCGATCAATTTTTATTATTTTATTACAGACCTACTGAAATTCTAGATATCTTATATTAAACGCAACAGAAATTTATATATACCTAACTCTATAAATATAGAATATAGAAATAATTTTATTCTTGAACCACATATTTCTCCACTCTAATAATAGTTATCATTTTCGACCAATTCCAATAAAACTTTTCATCATCAATATCCAGTAAATTGCCTTTAGTTTCCAATTCACTTCACACTTCTTATTATTTTACCCGAGATAGTACGATAATTACAAATTTGATTCGTAATACGAATGTTCTTATACGTAATATATTGCTGATCTGGACTTCTCATATATAATACTTATCAAACTTTAGATATCAAAAGACAAAATGCCGAGTTGACAATTTTCAGAAAGTCTACATATTATAAAATTGTCTCCACATTTTTTCTAAGGATATCAAATTGTTGCATCGCAACGTAATTTAGTTACTTTCGTCTCAATTTGATCTCCTTAAAAGAAAACTGTGTCATTGACTCTTTATTGTTTTAAAAATTGAACCTTTCTTTTAAATTTCTCTCTATAAATTTAGAATATTTTGTATGGAAATAGTATATTATATAAAGAAAAAGATTTTTAACCAAGAAAGTCTCTTTCTTTTTTTAAATTTTACAAAAGTTGCATACAAATTAATGTACTTATTTTTCTTCTATATGTGATGGCAAAAAAAGAAGCGCAGGGAATGCACATGAAAAATAAATTGTCAACTCACTTTTGTTCTCTTCATGTTCATTCAGAAAAATAGTTTTTCCAGAAACCTCTATATACTTTCTGCTTTCTAACAACTCAGAGAAAGCTTTTTAAATTCTTTCTCATAAAAAAAAGCAAAACAAAAAATATGTTAACTTCTGGAAAAGAAAAATTTTTCCTGATAGTATTAATCCAAATAAGTGGACAGCTTTTCACTAATTCAGAAATAAAAGTAACATTTCGTCATCCTGACTCGAAATCTAGACGAAAATAGTATTATTTTAAAATAACAGAAAATACGCCAAAAATTTTCCGAGAATTTCAATTCCAAAAATAAAGAAACCACACGTGCGTAGGCTGACGTGTATATGGATAAATAGAAAAACAATTACCTATATTCATTCAATTCTCTGCAAGAATGAGACAAAAATTAAAATACAATCGTGCCACAACTTCTTTTACTGAAAGAAGCGCAAACAAAAAATAACACACCTGCCACCAAATATACAATAATATTTTTGCCTATTTTTATCCAATTGAGTGCTAAATTTAATTCAGCAAAAATCACAGAGACTGCATATATATGCATTTGCCAATGACATTTGTTTTTACTTCTCTTTTGAAGGAGAATGATATTGAGATTTTAATTTTCGTGAGTACGATACAAGTACAATGTGAATGGATACATTGATAATTGATAAAGAAATTATATTCTTCTAAGAAGTACAAGTTAACATAACTTATTCATAAGGTCAATTTGTA